TATAACTCTGCTGGTGTAATTCTTTTTCCTGCACACAAAAATTTGAAGAAAGATTTTTGAGAATTGCCTTCCAGTGCGCGCCGCTAAATTGTTTATTCAATTGTTATTTTATTTACTGCAGAGATATTAGAAGTTGCTTAGGGTGTAAGGAAAAGTCAAGTGTGCAATACCGAAAATTGAGCCCGTCGAGTGTAAGTGTGTACAAACTACCTGTCATATAGAGTTTCATATTGAGCAAAACGTTTAAAAATGTACAGCTTAAGCTTTTGTAAACCACACCGCGCTAGATAAGTCCTTTAAGTTTATACTTTCAAATCATTCCCTTTAGCCCGCCTAAATTCAGAATATTTTATTTTACGCATTCGAGTATTTACACTATGATTACTTTATTGACTCTTCAAGATATCTGATATTGTTATATATAGTAAACAAATAAACTAGTCATAAAATCCAACTGTGTGGTGGTCGAGTAACAGCTGCTATCCACATTCGCACATTAAAATGAATGAGGGACTCGAGTGAGGCCTCAAGAGATTAGCATTGGAGGTAGGTTATTGCTGCAACGCCATCATTAGAATCACTTCCACATTAAGAGTGTTTATATGGTGCCGCGAAGTTCACGCGTGCGCAAAGTTTTCTGGCGACAAAGCGAAAATAAACAAGTGCAAGTTAAATCTTTTTTCATTTGCTTTTTACGCATTGTTTAAACTTAGGTGACGCTAAAATTAATTTTTGTTCGCTGTGACTTGTAGGTATGTATGTATATGTGTAAAATGATCTTCTCGAAATCAAACATAGCTTAAAAGTTTAGAGCGGAACAGAAAGAGCATAAACGTGGTACTTTTTGCAATTCCATTACGCGACGCCAACATATCTTGTAAATATTTACAAATGTTAATGTGAAACCATTTTTAAAAATACTTGCGTATTTATAAATGTACTGACTTTATTTATTACTACATATGTACATATGTATGTATTTACACCAGTATAGCAACAAATACTCTTGCTTCCCAGCTTACTGATTTTATGATTTTAATGTATTTCCATTTAATGTTTTGCAGAAACCGTTGCCAAGACAGGCATGATCTTACTATGCGGCGAAATTACATCGCAAGCTGTGATTGATTATCAAAAGGTTGTGCGCGACACAATCAAACACATTGGCTACGACGACTCATCGAAAGGTGAGTTAATAGTTTCTAAATTTTGCAAGGGTTGAAACGAAATTTTCTTGCCATATTAAAAAAAAATTTAATTCCTACGCCAAAAAAATGGTTAAGACTCTTAGACCAAAAACAGTAAATAAATA